AGGGAGAGGAGCGAGGTGCTGCCAGAGGCCTCCTTTCTCCCCTGCAGGGCTCCAGGCTCTGAGCTCCCTGCCCCTCCCCTTCAAAGACCCCTATGAGGTCCCTGTCTCTCTCCCAATCTCCAGCCAGCCTGGAGACCGCTGATTCCCAGCCCTCCCCTAAAACCACGCTGGGTCCCCCGCTTGCCCTATGCTAGCACTGCCCCGACCCCAGTCATCCTGAGGCTGTGCAGGGCTTAACGTGCCCTGTGCCCGCTCTATGCCCGCTGTTTACTCCGTGCCCGCTGTTTACTCTATGCCTGCTGTTTACTCTATACCTGCTGTTTACTCTATATCTGCTGTTTACTCTATGCCTGCTGTTTACTCTGTACCTGCTGTTTACTCTGTACCTGCTGTTTACTCTATGCCTGCTGTTTACTCTATGCCCGCTGTTTACTCCGTGCCCGCTGTTTACTCTATGCCCGCTGTTTACTCTGTGCCCGCTGTTTACTCTATACCTGCTGTTTATTCTATACCTGCTGTTTACTCTATGACTGCTGTTTACTCTATGCCCGCTGTTTACTCTATACCCGCTGTTTACTCTATGCCTGCTGTTTACTCTGTACCTGCTGTTTACTCTATACCTGCTGTTTACTCAATGCCTGCTGTTTACTCTATACCTGCTGTTTATTCTATACCTGCTGTTTACTCTGTGCCTGCTGTTTACTCTGTACCTGCTGTTTACTCCATGACCGCTGTTTACTCTATACCTGCTGTTTACTCTGTACCCGCTGTTTACTCTGTACCCGCTGTTTACTCTATGCCTGCTGTTTACTCTATATCTGCTGTTTACTCTATATCTGCTGTTTACTCTATGCCTGCTGTTTACTCTATGCCTGCTGTTTACTCTATACCCGCTGTTTACTCTATACCTGCTGTTTACTCTATGCCCGGTGTTTACTCTGTACCTGCTGTTTACTCTATACCCACTGTTTACTCTATGCCTGCTGTTTACTCTATGACCGCTGTTTACTCAATACCTGCTGTTTACTCTGTATCTGCTGTTTACTAATGCTTTCCTCTCATCAGTCTCTTTCCTTTCCTCTTTTCCTCCTTTCCTCTTTCATTGAAGAAATAACAACAGGTGAAATGTAACTCCAGACTGACAATCCTTTATCCACAATTCTGACACCCAAAAAGCCTGAAAACAAAGATTTTTTATAACCCACTTACTTGGCAGCGAAGTGCGCCCAAAGGTATGGGCGGAGTTACCGTCCTCACCCACCTAGTGTCAGAAATAGCAACGCCTAATCCAAGGCGCTGCCCAAAGCCACGTATGATACCCGAGAAACACACCAGGAACGTGTTTCCAAAGGCCAGTGAATGCCCAACTCCAAATCACGTCTGGCCCGAGGTGCTTGGCATAAAGGGATGTAGTGGACGTACATTTAGTTATTGTTTTAATTTTAAGAGTTTTGTTTATGTGTTAACATGGCTGGCCCCCTGGAATAGAGCCTAGACTGGAGACTCCTGCTCTAAATTCTTTGAATACAGGTACACAGCTGGTGCTTAATATGTGCTCCTGCACATAGTCCCTCCTTCATACCTGAGTGGGGCCCGCTGCTTCTTCTCCCAGCTCCTCAGCTCCTCAGTGGGCTTGGTCTCGGCACGGGGCCTCGTGCTCTGCAGGTCTGCGTCCCAAAGGAGAAACACAAGAAACCCCCAGTGAGCCCCAGCCCCGTAGAACTGACCCCAACAGCTTTGCAGTGCCTCTGTGGGAGGGTTCCCCGAGCCTGGCTAAATAGATGGTCTCACAGCCACCTGTCCCACTTACCTCCTCCCCTGGACTTTTAGATGGCCTCGAGGCCCTATGTCCCCAGCCGTACCACACCAACCTTTACTGTGGCTGAGTGACACAACCTCGAGGCCCTATGTCCCCAGCCATACCACACCAACCTTTACTGTGGCTGAGTGACACAACCTCGAGGCCCTATGTCCCCAGCCGTACCACACCAACCTTTACTGTGGCTGAGTGATACAACCTCGAGGCCCTACGTCCCCAGCCGTACCACACCAACCTTTACTGTGGCTGAGTGACACGACCATGCCCATTTCCCTGGCTTTGCCAGTGCAGGGCTTCTGCCTAAAATCCCTTCCCTCCCCTCCCCTATTCTAATCCCTTCAAGGACCAACTCCATCCTGTCTGTCTACAAAGCAGCTCCCCAAGAAAGCCCCAGACTCCCCGGTAGTCCCCCCAGGCAGAATGGTCCCCCTGAGACACGGCAGTGCTGTCTAGGCCCTGCAGCCCCTCACCGGCCTGATTGAGAAGGACATTCCTCTTGCTCTGGCTGCCATCGGGGGCCACGGTGAGCTTCACCCGCAGCGTCTTGCTGGAGGTCGGGGAGTGGTTGACGGAGGAGTCGACCACCTCGTAGATGGTGTGCAGCAAGCTGGTGATGTCCTGGAAGGGGAAGCAGGACCCACATGGGGCTGCAGCCACAATGCACTGAAGATGCAGGCTCACAGGGCCCAAGGGAAGTGCCACATTGACCCCCTAGGGTCCCCCAAGGTAGAGCCTAAGGCAGAAACCTGGATGCCAGACGTTCATTTCGGAGGAAAGCCTAGCAAGCAGGACGGAGGAGCAGGGAGTGTGAAGGAAGAAAACCCTTAGGGGTAACTGGAAGGAGCAGGTCACGGCCATGGGCTCTGCCACACTGGGGCCTTCTCAGGGGCATGAGGAGCCCACCTAGGCGCAGGCTCACCACACAGGGAAGGGCTCCCTCCCTAAGAAGGCGAATCCCCCTAAACTTGGGCTGCCCTGCAAGGGCTGAGCCAGCTCCCCACACCCAAGAAAGCTCTTCTCATGGGTTCTGTCCACCATGGCAACAGGTGAACTTGGAGGTGGGCCCAGAGAATACTGGGGGGGGGGAGGAGCATTCACAGCACCTGCCTCAGGTCTGATGAGCACCTTCTGAACAAAAAATGGAGAGGAGTGATGTGTCCTTGCTACAGACTGAACTGTGACCCCACCCCAAAGTCATATGTGGAAGCCCTAACTCCCAATGTGATGGCATCTGGAGTAAGGAGGTAATTAAGGTTGAATGAGGGCAGGCCCCAGTCTGGCAGGTACGGTGCCCGTCTAAGCGGAAGAGATACTGGAGGCCCTTCTGTCCACCACTCAAGTACATAGCGAGAAGGTGGCCATCTGCAAACCAAAAAGAGCCCCCACCAGAGTGGATCAGTGACCAAGCCCTCACCTTGATCTTAGACTTCCAGCCTGCAGAACAGTGGAAAAATAAATTTCTGTTATTTAAGCTTACTGTGGGATTTTGTTACGGCAGCCTGAGCCGACTAAGACAAATTCTAAAGGATAATCTATTCTGTGAGAACTTAACCAAATCTCACCTCAACCACGTTCCACGGGGTGTCTCAAAGACTTCTGAGTATTGAGTCCCCCCTCACTGGACCTCTCTTTGTCTGGATATCTGCTGAGGTCATTTGTCTGGGGACAGTGACCTGCTTTAAATGACATTAGAAGCCTCTGGAGAAGAAATCTCAACCGTCTGGCCCTTGGCTCGTGTGTTATCCTCCTAGCCATTTTTTATGATGACAGGCTCAGGCAGGCTCAGCCCTCCTTCATGTCCTTGCTGTAAGCCTCTACACTGGGGTGGCAGAGTCAATACCAGCATGGCCATGGCAGGTATGTGGACGGGTGACCCCGAGTGGTCAGGGCCGCGTGAGGCATAGGTCCTGCCCCACCGGTGGCAGCTGCTCTGCTCAGCTGACTTGCTTTTGATAATGCAGGCTGAGGGTCATCCCAGCAAAGCTAAGACATCAGAATCTTCTATCAAATCTTCAGAATCTTTGATATTGGCAACCAATTTAATTTGTACCAAAGCCTGGTCTGGGGGACCAGGCCAGAACACACCTGGGGACCAGTTTGGAATGGTGGGCAGTTTGAGACCCAGGCTCCAGCTCCTCAAGTGCTGGCTCGGGCCACTGTCCCAGCTCTCCTGACATGGCCACGAAGGACTCCTGCTCTCTGGCTTCTCCTTCCCTTGGGCTTCTCTGTACAGCCTTCTGCTCACTCCCTCTCACCATCTCGGGAAGCCCGTCAAGCAGGTATCACAGTACAGATGAGGTTCACCAACATCCCCCCTGAGCATCTACCCTACAAGGCGGGGGGCCTGGTGTGTAATCCCAGGGCATCCCAGCTGATTCAGGGTCAGGAACAGGCATGCTCTGGTAATCCCAGCTTGAAAATCAACCCCATGCACTGCACAGGGTCAGGCATGCAGGAATAGGTGTGATAACTTCTCCTGCATGGATGAACAGGTGCTTTTTTCCAAGTGGGAAAGTGGGTCCAGACCCTGGCTCTGCTCTGCAGGTGCGCTGAGGTGGGAGCCCATCTTCCCTGGCACCAGAAAGGACAGAGAGGAATGGCATTTGCAGCCAGATTTGAGGAATGGCTCTGGGGCCATAAATAGACCAAGGAAATACCAGGCGGAGTCTAACTTGAAGCCAACCTTCTGGCTCCGTGGTAGGAGAAAGACACTATCCGGTAAACTTTCTCCAGCACTGCACTGGGTCACCTTCCTTGGCAACCTTCTCTCCTGTCCTCTCATTACCAAAGCAGTTAAGGAGGACATGAACATGAAACCAGAACGCAGTGTCTGCCCACAGATTCTGCTCAGTTTCTGAAGTGGGGGACAAATCCTTCTGTGATCAGTACATGGGTTCCTAAGCATCTTCTGAACCAGGAAAGAAAGAAGGCAGCTCCTAGAAGCCGAGCGGCCTTCACCACTGCCCCAGTCTCCTAGTACCATCGTCTCCTACCAAGGACAATGCCACTGCACCCAGGAAGCCCAGCGAGCTGTCAGAGTTGGTTTGGGGGCTTCTGATGACATTCTGAATGTGAAGGGTTGCTGAGAGCGGGGATTTAAAGCTGTCAGGTGTCACCTTCCTGCTGCCAAGGAGAGAGCATGCCTGATAACAGGTAGACACTGAGGAGGCAGAGCCATGAAGAAGCTCGTCCTGAAGACACAGAGCCCCTGGATCCATCCGTGCCTGAAGTCAGTGCTTTCAGTTACCAGAGCCCAGTATGTTCCCATTTGCTGTGAAGCGCCCCAGTTGGAGCTGGTCTTGTCACTCCCATGTCAAGACTGCTGAGCGATTCAAGTCGGTCACCGCTTCTTCTTCCAACCCATTTGATCAGCCCCTACAACGGCCTGCGGAGGAGGGGCCCTTTCTCACCCAGGTCTCCCCTCTGGCAGCACAAAGACCAACTTCTTTTGTACTATCCACAGAGAAAAAAAATACTCTACCCTGACCCGGGATAAGGAGATAACACAGCAAAGCTTCAGAGCTCTCTGGGCACCTCCGGAGTGCTCGGGCCTCCGCCTGCCCAGTCCTCTCCCCAGGCCACGCGTGCTGCACACACCCAGCTCAGCTTCTTCCAAGAGGCCTCGCCCAGACCCTGCAGCCAATCTCTGTCTCTCTGTTGGACTCTCCTGTTCATTTCCTTCCCTGAACACACCATCCCTTCCAGTTATCCTCCAAGTGTGTGGCTCAGCCTCCCTCATCAGAGC